GGCATGGGTGTGAGAGTGTCATGGTGGGTCGTGGTGGTGGAGGTGGGAGCATAGCACTGCCCACCTCAAAGGCTGCTGCTCTGCCCCCCCTCCTGCCTGCCCACCCCCCCACCTGCTGCCATGGTGCAGGCCAATGAGGAAGTGATGTCCCGCCCCTCTGAGTGTGACTCACGGCCCTCCACTAGTGGCTCTGGTCCGTATGTCCACAATAAGGTGGCGGTCAGCAATAGGTGGCCCGGGGGGGCACGGCCCAAGATCTTCAATCACAGGTCCTTCAGCTCAGGATCGCGACCCTCAGTGCTGTCACGGGCGTCAGGATCTCTGCGGTCGGTGTCACGCCCGGGATCTCGGACTGGCTCGGGTCTCGGCTCGCGGGGCTCACTGCTCTCAGGCTCGGTGGGGACAGCGGAGGAGGTGGGCTCAGGAGTGTCCAGACTACGGAGGGAGTTGCCTTCCATATCCGACATCTGCGGGTATGACGAGGTGCAGGAATTACTGCGAGATATTGAGCAGCTCGAGTGCCGAAGATGGACGTCTGACTGGGATTCTTTTACCATCCAGTCCTCACATCCAGATCTAGACATCCCACACGACCTCGATCTTCTCTCACACGACTTCGAAACCATTTCACGGTGCGACTCTCGCCTCTCGTGGGACTCGCACGCTGGCCGACAGCCCGAGGATGAGGAGGAGGACCCAGACCCCAGCCCCGGGGACAACTCGCCTGAACCTCCCAGAAACCGTCGTCCAACTCCCACTGTTACGATAGCATGGGATGACTCTCACCTCAAGACCTCAGTTGGCATTTTTAGACTATTATTAGTAGTAAGTCGTCCTGGATCTCTTGCTGTGATGAAATGTAATAGAAGAGTTTCAAAGTGCTTTCCAGAGGCTCTTCTCAGAAAGTGATAAATTTCTATATTGAAGAAGGTCAATATATACCCCCCAGATAGAGAGATAGATAGAGAAAGAGCAGTAAATAGAGTGAGAAAGAGAGAGAGAGAGAGGAAAAAAAAAAGTAAATGGAGATGCTAATGCAGTTTAATTGTGTTACAGGTTGTCTCAGTAATAACAATGACGTGTGCGTGTACAGTGGGCACAGCTCGCCTGAGTATTTTTGTGTTGCCGGGTGCATGGCGGCTGCGCGTAGTGGTGTTCACTGCCGTTTTCACCATCCTCACTACCACCATTCTCCTGCTGCTACACCTCTCATCCCTCGTGCACTCACTCACACTACGTTGGGACAAGTTGGTCAGTATGCCCTCGTTTTGTGCGCGAGATTTTGATTGTGTGTCTCATGATTTGTTTCAAATATATTGGAAATAAAAGAAAATTCAATATTATGATGATTATTAGATGATTATGGTTGTTTGCTTTGATTTTAGTGTTGATGTGTTTGAGTGATTATTTAGATTGCTGGTATATTCCTAGTATATATGTAATGTTACCAAAAATGTAGTAACATTTTAGAATTATCTGATAGAGAAATTATTATTGATAAACTTTGTAATTTGTGAGACAGAAAGGTAATTCATTGTAAAGCTCATGTACTCTCCTGTAGACTGATATTCTTATCCATGATATACATTGGAAAAAAATCAGAATACTAGAATAAGTTATCAGCTTAAGTTGTGATTCCTGTTTAGTTTTAGTAAACCATTATAACCAATATTGCTTTTCAGCTTCAATCTAGTGTAAAACTTTTGTTCTTGTCATTTCTTTTTTACCCATAAGTTGATAGACATGGGAATCACTTCAGTTGAATGGTTTAGGTATGTGGTAAAACCTCAGCTTTGAAGCACAGTCATTTTAGTCTTCTGTGAAGATTCCTACACCAACTTTTATCTATAAAACTCTTTCCTTTTTTCTGACCTCTCCATCAGAAGGGATTTTTTTCCTGTCACTAATGCAGCAACATGTGTGTATATTGAATAAAATAGCCCCATCTTCATTGTCGTTTCAGTTCACATTATTTAGTTCTGTTAGTCCTGTATCATAGTACTGTATTATTGTAATGAAATGGAAACATCCAAGATGGATAAATCATGGCCGTACAAAAGCAATGGAATTGTATTTTATTGAAAGGAAGGTAAAAACCTCTTGGTAGAACAGAGATCTCAGATCCCCCTGGGAGCCTATGTCAGCTTTAGTAAGTACTGCTATTTTGTAATAGATAACTATCCAAAAACACATTCTGTATAGACAAGTGGTAATTTTGTATTTGGTTTGTATATCCCTGTTGTTGTAATTCACTGAGTTCCTTGAAATTATTTAATCAGATATTTGAAAAGTAAAGTTTATTTAGAATGGTTCAAGTTTGATTTACTGAAGGTTATCTTTGTTAGCATATAGTATAAAAATGATGAAGAAAAATTGTAGACATTTACATACACAACAGTACTGTTCATGTACAATTTACAGTTATTGCACATCTTTGTATGGTTCGCATTTTAATTTGACAAGCAGTTTTGCTATATCATGTATAGTGCCATTAGTATTATAGAATTTAATTTTGATAAATCATTACTGATCAGCATCAAGTCTTAGATTTTACTGAAAACTAAAATTTTACTTGATCATCTCCTAACAGCTAAGATCTCAGTACTAAATTATCTTATTCACTTTAGAGTGATTATTGCATTTGATATGTCATAATATTTGTTCAGTTGAATTGTTTTGGCACTGGCAATGAAGAAAACAATATATCCTTAGAAAAATTTATCTGCAAGTGCAAAATGTTATCATTGTAGTGATGTGGTTTAATTTTTCTTTTATTATTCTGTGTTTTCTTTGCTGGCATTTCCTGCCGAAATCATGCAAGTACTTGTCATTTCTTTCTCTTGGATATTGCTAGATTATACTGATTTTTGGATAGATGGGTAATTAGATCCTGTTTTGATATATTTGGATGAATCAAGGAGTTTAATTCAATCACAAGTCAAACTGTGAACAGATATTAATAAACTTCATTATTAGATATTTTTAATGCCTTTTTAATAAAAGTAGGACATTATGAATTATGTTAGTGATGAGATGTTTATGGGATACTGTTCAGATTACCCAGAAAGGGAAAATCTGAATAAGAATTAATAATTCCTCGGCATAAGGTGAATTGTCTGAATTTTTCTTTTCTCATTTTCTCTATTCTTAGCATTTTTAATCTTATGATCTGGTTGGTGATTGTAAATTAAGTGTTATTGTCCTATAGGAACATAAATTTCAAAGGCACTGAAATCATTGTATCAATATCTAGATAATGCCAAAGTTCAGAACTTATTGTGTACACAACAGGAATAATGCCTTTTTATTAACTGCACCATTATATTAGTTCAGATCACTCCAACTTGGATATTTGTAATAGTTTATAGATAAGGTCAGCACTGTTTTTAATGACTGCTGCTGTGTTCAACCAGTCTGCACATATAGGGCCTATCTTAGGATTACACTTGTTATATTTCATTAAGATTTAAAGCATATTACCTTTTGAAACAGAGAAGAAAATTTTACTAATAAAAAGAGAAGGAAATTAATGCTTATAAAGGCTACATGAAATTTTGTGAAGATAATTGAAAATGACATATCATAATTTGATGCATTCATCAAATCATTAGAATTATTCTCTATGTTGTAGTAATGTTTACTATTATAAAAGCACATACAACCATTGTAATAGGATAGTTATCTGATATTAGGTACCATATTGTATACACAATTCTTTGAGTTTGCTGAATCTTGAAAGTAAGCTACAGTCAAACTTTATAATTTTGATATTAATAAAATGTGCATACATATCTAGATTACAGCCACTGAACAAACTGGTTGCAACACTTTCATAAATAAAAGGCATACTATTCTGCATATTGTACTTTCCAATATGCAGTTAGATATTGTATTCTGTTTAGAAGAATGTGGTTATGAAATATTATCTATTATGGAGAAAGGTTGAAGTTTAAGCTAGAGTAAGGAATTTTCATTTTATTGACTTTATTCTCTATTTTGCTGCTGATTGTCTTGTCGAGCTGTACATTTTTATTCTTGTAATTTGGACTTATTTCATATTGATTATAGTATTTAGGGCTGGCTGTATTATGAAGATATAGTATTTATGGATAGGACATACAGGATTATTATGATCAAACATTTAAGTTTATAGTAATTGGGTAAATGAAATTGGCAGAGGCACCCTAGAATTTTGACGGTTATCCAAAGAAGAAAATAATTTAATTGGCTTGTTATCCTTAAGTAATTGCATATCCTCTCTATTGTACATATTTTACAAATGAATGTTGAAGTTTAAGATTCATTAAGGTGAATATGTATTCTTAAAGGGCTATTTTCTTCATATAATTGCACACACTAATGCTGCATGTACTGTGAACATTCCTGTCTGATGTTTGAGAAGGGATATAGTGAAAAAAAGATTAAGAAGGTGCAAAGCTTTTTATCTTTTTTTTAGTCAGCTAGTGAGTTATATATATACTGTGAAGCAGATATGACATGTGGGACTTAGACTGATATATAAAGTGCTAAAAATAAGTATTTTTTGATGTGTTAAAAACATACATGAGAGCAACTTACGGGTGCATTAAGATGGTTATGAAGGCCCAACCTGCTGCCTCACTGAGTATTATGAACATGCCCACTACACCGCTGCTCAAGACCAACAGACATCGCATTCTAGATGAAGGATGTTTAGGGCACAGTTTTTGCTTTTTTTACAATTTTTTTTGGAAGTAGATTAAGAAGACAATGAGAATATATTGAGCACAAGCAAGCAACTGTTAAACTCTTTTTCAGTCACACTTATTTTTGCTATCTCCACCTATTTTTAACACCTGTTGCTTACCTTTTTATTTTTTTCACATTTCTTGATTAATAGCATACATTTGGATAATTGATTCTTTCAATACCTTTCCACAATATCACTTGATAGTGAAATTCTGTTTGGCTTGACTTATTTGATCAACTAAAACATGATGCTGAATGTAGGCTTAGTTGCAGGTAAGATAAATTAGGGATAGATTATAGAAAAAACAAGATTTGATGATTATACATATACATAAGGTACGGGCAATAAACCAAGAAACAGATTATAATTTAATGGCTTTGTATTACACAATAGCCATAAGTGTAATTTTATTGTTGCAGGGGATCACATACATCTCTCACTTTGTGCCATGTAATAGAATTATCATTTTATCTCTCCCTTTTTTAAAAATCTATTGCAGGATTCAGTTTTTCACTGTCTCAATCTATTTCAGGTTACAGTCATTTATGTGTTTGTATGTGTGTGTTACTTGGTATCGGCTTCATTGCTGCTGCATTTGCTGCATCTCTACCATACCACATATCCATGGATCCCAGCATGGACCAAACAGCAACTACTAACAACATCGGTAAGTAAGGAGGTTGTATGGGAGAGCTAGGGTAGAGAGCATTCTTTGAAGGGATAAAAATGTTTCTGTTTTTTTTTCCAAATTCTTATTGTGAAGATTACTGAGTGGCATAGTGCTTCAGTTACTGCATAGATAAAAAGACTGAAAAGATTGATAAGCTGAAAAGGAGATAAATATGATTACTGGTGATTCAATTGTTTGCCTTCTCTCTCCTTCAATAGGAAAAAACATAATTTGAATACCTTGAACTGATATTTTTTAGAAGCTTTGGCATAAAGTTTGTGATTTATTGGTTGATAAATTTACTGAAATTAAAGAAAATGAAAATAGATTAAGACAAATAAAGTAATATAAACATGCGCTTATACAGGATGTTAGTTGTAAGATTAAATAATTCTATAGAAAATTAATGAAATCATCACATTAGAGAAAAAGTGCAGACATTCAGGATAAAAAAGTTCTATATCAGAATAATTAAGTGTTGGTCAGAAATTCTCACCTTCATTTTTAAAAAGTTTTATGCAAGGGAACATTTTTATTCAATCTTTTTCAGTTGTGTCATTGTATGAATAAAAAAATATGTATAGATAAATTCAAGAAAGCTCTTTGACTCTTGACATCAATTTTGGGAATATAGATTGAGAATAGATTTTAAAATATTCAAGTTCTAAAAAGTCAGACAAATAAACTTTATGTACTTAATCCTTAAAGGACAAAACAGGACAATTGTCAATGTCAGTGTTTGGTGGTCAGTGGAGGAACCATGACAGAAATCATCCAGCTAAAGATTTATATATTATCCGTTATGAATATACAGATTAGAAGAGTTTGAGCTAAATTTTTTTTTATCTAAGCTAGCAGAAAGGGAAGACCCATATTTGCCAAACTGCTGATATTCTTATTAAAATAATTAGATTTCAATTATTTATTTTTTTTAGGTAAAAATCCTATTCTTTTCACAGATAAAACATTAATCTTTCTTGTCCTTTAGGGGTTAAGGAATTATATATTTTCCAATTTATTTATGATTTAGTCCTAAAATTTGAACTTATAGTAGTTTGAAATGTCAGATTTTTGTAATATCTTTGTACTTTCATATGTTTAATGATTAAAAGAAATATACATCCTTAGAATATTGCATAGAGAAGTAGGATATCTATTTGTGTTACCTTTTTCATATATTACAGTAGTAGTAATATTGGCATGAGCAAGATCAGTTACTAAAGATAAATAGAAAATTCACTTTAAATTTTGATAGCACAATAAAAAAAAAAATGATTAAAGTTAAAAGATTACATATGCACATGATGTATTTTGTCAGACTGGATTCCTATGAGTTGTAATCATCCTGTCAAGCATTGTGGTAAGTCTAGCATTGATGAAAGTTGCTTCCTAATCTTCTTCTTTTTTCTCTTTTTTTTGACATACCCAGTACTCCATTTTGTCTAACTAAACACAATTAGTTGAGATTTTTGTGTAGATACTGAGTAATGGTGTGTGCGTGGTGTTGTTGCAGCTTTGTGGCTGTGCATGCGGGGTGGTGTCCCTGGTACTGGCGGTAATCTCAGGGTGTGGGTGGCCTCGCTACGGCCGCGTGCTCAGTGAGGGCTCAACTACAGACACCACGTCCTCCCACCACCTTCATACTCTCCACCACATTAATCCCCATGCACTAGCGGGGCCAGCAGCTGGTGTGCTACCCTCCAGAGGGCTGCGGCAGGGGTCCGGGACCTCCTTGGGCCCGGGCAGTTATCAAGGGCCCCATGCCACTACAGCCTTCACCCCGGACAGCCTAAACGACCCGCAGCCGGGACCCTCCAAAGCTCTGCCACACAACCACACTCCTGCACGCCCTCAAGCCCTGCATGGTCTTACTCAACAGCACGGGGTTTAGTGTCCACAAGCCATGCTGAAATCAGGGCCTACTTCCCTTCTCTTTTATAGGGGCACTCATGGGGCACTGCTCCAAGGATGAGCTTATAAGACTATTAGTGTGTATGGCGCAGTGTGGGAGCCAATGTGAGGCGGTGTGGTGGAGGACAAAGGGCCAGACTATGACTGTGAGGCCACCGCCACCATATGCTCGTACTGTATGCACGTTCAC